GGGGGGGCACCGAGAGGGGGGCACAGGGCAGCAGGGCCAACGACTTTCATCTCAAATCACTGGGACGGGATAGCAGCCCTTGGTCGTGCCGCCACGGTCACTTACACAACTGGACTACATTTCGCTGCACTGGCCCGGCCCGCTGCGCTGCGCTGGGCTGGGCTGTCGATGAAAGGAAGCGTCTCCATCGACGATGATGGTCTGTCGGGCAAAAGGTGTCGTTTGCGAGCGCAGTTTTGAAGCCACGAGAGGAGGGCTGGCACTCCAGACAACTTCCCAACACCCTGTCCACTACAGCATACAGCTCGTTGATAGTCACGATAACGAATGCACCTGTGCGGGCGCGACGGGTTGCCTACTCGACTGGGCCTGGGCCGCAGGGCCGCGGCGGGAATGACAAAAATGTGCGAACTGGGCGCATCAGTCATCTGTTATGTGGACAACATTTACCGGAGCAATGACTTTTAGACGGTGATAAGTCTATCGTTACTAATCGTGTCCAATTTTTTGCTTGCAGAAGTCCGCGCCCTGTCCGCCGAGCCCGACTTTCGGCAGGTCTCCCTACACTGGCTGTACCCGCGCATGGCCTCCGATGTCTTCGCTTTCCGAGTGGACTACTGCGAGCTGCAGGCGTGGGGCGTCAACCGGTGTCGCGCCAAGGTATGGCCCAGCACCAGCACGTACATTCTCGCTTTCTGCGCCATCACGGCGTCAATGAGGACTCTGCCCGCAGATGGTGGACGCGCCCCCGAGGCCGGCGGTCACCTCCGCGCGGGCGGCACTGCGGGACGGCGAGGAGCTGTCCGAGTACGGCGCCGTGGTCACCGGGCTCCGCATGGCCACCAACTACACCTTCAGCGTGACGCCCGTGGAAGGGCGGCTGCAGTCGCTGCAGCATCTGCCCCCGTACGCCCGGAACAGGCACGCCAGGACCATCATGGCGCCCACCAAAGGCTGTGAGTGACGAGAGGGGAGGGGCACGACTCCGGGTCCTGCTTCGCGGTGCTCTTCGCGGTGCTCATGCGGTGTCTGATGTTCCAGTCTCCGCCCGGGCGACGCTGTGCCTGCCGGACGTGTCCGAGGTCGAGGTGCACACCGGCCCGCACTTCAGCGGCCGCATCGCGGTGGAGGCCAACGAGCAGGAGGCGGCGCCGCCGCCGCCGCCCTGGAGGCGCGAGGCCCCGGGCCTTGCCCCGGGCCCGGAGGAGCCGCGCGGACTCAGCGGCCTCGGCGCGCGGCCCGTGGACGAGCCCTGCGCCGTGGCGGGGGACGCGTCCAGCCCCCGCGAGTCCTACACGCTGCGCATCGACCACCGGCGCTGCGGCAGCCACGTGAACCGCTCCACGGTGGCCACCTTCATCCTGGTGCAGGAGAACCTGCCCATCCTCACGCACTCCACGAGGCGCTTCCTGGTGCTGTGCACCTTCCAGCCCGACGCGCTCATCGTGCGAGCCGGGTAAGTCGCAGGGACGGCCGGCACGAGGCTCGCGTATGCGAATGCAAAGTCACTAACGATCTTGCCGACGTCCACCAGGATCAGCTTGCCCACAGTGCACGGCGAACATCGCAACCGCGAGGACCTGGCGGAGTCCGCTCACGGCAACCAGCTCGGGGGCGGCGGCCGCGGCGGGGTGGCGACCGGCGTCGGGGCGGGGCCCGCGGAGGTCATGGCCTACCAGCTGCAGGGCGAGGAGGACCTCAAGGGGGACGCGCTGGGGCTGGCCTCGGGCGGCAACGGCGTACCTTCGGGCCGCCAGCAGCGACGGCACGCCGGCCGGGCGCTCGGGCTGGGGCTCAGCCCAGACTCGGCGGAGAGAGGTGAGTGCCGGGACAAAACGAGTCAAAAGTAAGTAAGGGCGAAAAAAGAACACAACATAATGGCCCGTTTCTTCCGTCGCCGTCAGGCTCTCCGGACGAGACTCGTGAGGTCCAGCTGGTGCTGACGAGCGTCCTGCTGGTGGTCGGCGTTGTGCTTTGCGCCATCACGGCCTGGTGGTTCGCGCCCCGGAGAAAACGGACCCGTAAGTAGAGCACCACGACAGGCCTGGCCTGGCGGGGCGTTGTCAGTTATTGGACAGGGACGACCTGACCCGCGACAATACCCCGCCCCCTGCCTGGTCGCGCGTCGCCCTCGCCTTCCTCACAGTCCACTTGTCTGCTGTCACAGGTTCCATTGCCGACGACGCATTGACGGATGACTCGGCGTCTGTATACCAGAACTACGAGAACTCGCTCCGCGACTCGGACTGTTCCAGCCTGGGCACCGTCGGCACGGTGAACAGCAGCATCCTGAGCTCGCTGTCCCGCCACCACTGGGCCACGGCCGCCCTCGCCGCGGACCTCGGCGCGGACGCCAGTGCGCGCGAGAAGGCCGCCACCAAGGCCGCCACCAAGGCCACCTCCTTCCCCGACGATGAGTTCGGGGAGGTGTGGGGTGGCGGACACCCCGAGGTCGAGGCGCCGCCGTCCAGCCTGGTGTTTGCCATACGCCTCCCCAACGCGGCCGGTGTGCCGCCGGTCCTCCCTCGCCTCACGGCCCCCGTCGTCGTGCCGAGCGACAAGAAGCTGCCCACGCCGCCGGTGGACTCCTCGTCCTCATCGGCGTGCTCCGTTTCTATCGGAGGGCCGGAAAGTCTCTCCTCCCAGTCGGATGCATAAACCCACCGTTCCTACTTCCCACGGACTCCCATCAAAATTGTTTAAAAATAATTTTAAAAAAAATTAGTGTAGTGCAATATCGTAATTAAGAGAACATATTGTGATAAGTCAGTTGAGCAGATGGTGTGTATTGCTTGTGATAATAGCCTCTGAAGAGGTCAATTTACTTTTTAAAGCCCTGATTGCGAAAAGGAGAACCAACAAAAATTATTACCTGTAGCTATTATAGCAATGGTTGCAGTGGTGCATACAACTATAGTTTAGTAATATGCAATGTATTCCAGTGTGCCTGAGAAACTGCCATCCATTGCAACTTTTCTTTTTAGTTCATTTTCTATTTAAATAATAAGAAATCAAGACAGATCTACAAGATGCCAGTATCCTCTCCATTATCTTTGGCCTCGGGAATATTCTGGAGGAAGTCAACTCCTGAATCTATTATTTGGTAATTGGGTGTTGGACATCTGTTGTACAAATATTAGATATTTGCCAATTTGTTGCCTTCAAGTGGTTTGATGTAAACTTTCTTTTTCCTAATCTAACAAACAAATATCTTCCCATAGATAATGGAGAATTTACTTTAAATTCTGTAATCTCCTGTGCATACATATCTTTGATGACAAATAAAATATCAGTTACATGCTTGTTTTCTTTTTTATATTGAA